GCTTTTCGGGGCTTCCAGAGGAAGAGGCCCCCTCCCCACCTGTGCTGGCAGCCATAGCAGTGACCCTAGTGTGGGTTGGGGGGATCAGAGGGGGCTGTTTGCCAGCCTCTCCCCCAGAGACCAGCCCCGTCCTTGCAGCTCCTGCAAAATCAATGGCCGTTAGCCGCTGGCCAGAGGAACCGAAGGGAGATGGGAGAATCGGAGCCTGATGGAGCCGAGAGGGAGAAGGAAGGGGAGAGCCATCTCCTTTGGAGCCCAGATGCAGGAAAGATGCAGGCGGTTGTAGCATCTGGAAGGCAGCCTCTTCTTGCCTGCCTGAGAAGCCAAGAGCTGCCCCACCAGGAGACCTTCAGAGGGACCTTCCTGGCCCTCAGCTTCTTGGTCCAACCCTCGGATCCAAGGCCGAGACCCATCATGCACTCCTCTTCCCCCATAACCCCCCTTGCCTAAGCTGCACCGTTGGGCTGACAGGGACGCAGCCACATGGGACCGAAGGCGAGAGAGGATGGGCAGCCATTGGTCTGGAGGAGAATGGGGCAGGGGGTGTCCGAAGCTGGCTGGGGAATTCTGGGAGTCGAAGTCCACACGTCTTAAAGGTTGGACACCTCGGGTCTAGGGCCTCCTGCTCAAGCAGCGGGTTGGACTAGAGGACCTCCAAGGTCCCTTCCAACTCTGTTCTTCTGAACCCTTCAGTCCAAGGTTATGGAGACCAGACTGGGGGTCTCCTACAAATTAAGGGACACCAGAGATGAGGTAACAGCCCAGGGCGCACTCAGGCCCCACATACCCCTGTGTAGCATGTCTGCAGCACCTGGGTTAGTGGATTCTGGGTGGGTGGGTAGGCTCTCCCTACCCCCTCCAGGCTGCTTCCAAGGGGATCCCAGCCTGGTCAACGGCGGCTGCGAGGAATTCCAGGGGCTTCTCCCTGCCTCTCCCTCCCACCCTCCCACCCCCTGTCTCTGGCTTCCTATGCAATGGAGCACCGGATCCCTCCCAGCCGTTCTCTCCTCCTCCGCCCTTCCCCTCCTCCCGAGGGATCCATCAGCTGTCAGTCTGCCAGAGAAACAGGGAAAATATGTAGGCCATAAAAATCAGGCTCAAAAGCAGGCTGCCAATTAGCATGCAAAAGAGGAGGGGGGAGGGGGGGGTCCTGCATGCAAAAGAGGAGGGGGGAGGGGGGGAGTCCTGCGGGGAGAAGAGCAAGCGAGGGGTGGGTGGGACAGAGGGTCCCCAGGGGAGGCTCCCCCTGCCCAGGGTCTGTGGGGGGTGTCCCCAATTGGTCCCCCCGCCCCCTTCCTCTCCCTTTGCAAGTGGGTTTCACATGGTAAAAATCCCCCCATCTTGGCAGAGGCTGCCCCCAAGGATGGTGGCCTCAGTCAAATCAACGGCCTCCCCAACCGTCTGCCACATTTGGGGGGGGTGTGTGGAAATCAGGCTGCTCCCCAGCCCCCTTTCCCAGCATCAGTACCCAAGCCTCATCCTCCAAGCAGGACAGTAGCTTGCAGACCCCAGAATCCCCTCCCCTGCAGCCCACCTTTGCAGCAAAGGACCCCCGTTTGATGCTGGCTTTGCACGGAAAGTGGCCAGTGGTGGAAGCTCTGCTGGACCCCCCCCATCCCCAAGCCTCCCCCCGCCAGAAGATGAAGCCGGAGGAAGGTCAGCCAGGTCACCTGGCCAGGTGAAAGGACTGGGGGGGGGAGAGGGGGCTCCATCCCAGGCTCACCTTTGATGATGTGCCGGACGATCTTGATGGAGCTGCCCCGCATGTTCAGGATCTGGTGCACCCTCTGGCGGATCTGGTGGGGGGGCGGGGGGAGAGAGAAGAGGGGAGGTGAAGGGGTCTCCATTGGGGAGACGGGAAGCGACCGGGTGGGACGAAGGATCGGGCCCCACAGGTGGAGTTGCAGCTGGGAAGATTGATACCTCAAACCAGGCAGTCCTCGACTCAACGACCGTCACTGAGCCCAGGATTTCTGTTGCTAAGTGAGACCTCGGTTCAGTGAGTTTTGTCCCATTTTGTGACCTGTCTTGCCGCCTTTGTTAAGGGGATCCCTGCAGTTGTTAAGTGAGCCACATGGTTGTTAAGTGAATCCGGCTCCCCCGTCACAAAAGGGGATTGTGTGACCCCTGGACACTGCCACCCTCGTAAATATGAGTCAGTCCGAATGTAAATCATGTGATCGTGGGGATGCTGCGACGGTCATAAGTGTGAAAAACGGTCATAATGGTCACTTTTTTCTCAGTGCCATTGTAACGCTGAACGGTCACTAAACGAACTAAGTCGAGGACTCCCTGTATACAAGAATCTGGTCAACCAAGGCTCAGTACTAAGTTGGTGCCAGGGAAGGGTCAGCGGAATCTGCCCCAGGACCCTTCCGGCGTCTGCAGACTAAAGAGGCAAGAGAGGAGTTTGGCCTGGTGGTTAAAGGCGCCCGGTTGGAAAAGAAGAGACAGGGAGTTCTAGTCCCTCCTTAGGCATGAAAGCCGGCTGGATGACTCTGGACCAATCACCAGGAGACGGGGAGTTCTAGTCCCGCCTTAGGCATGAAAGCCGGCTGGGTGACTCTGGGCCAATCACCAGGAGACGGGGAGTTCTAGTCCCGCCTTAGGCATGAAAGCCGGCTGGGTGACTCTGGGCCAATCACCAGGAGACGGGGAGTTCTAGTCCCGCCTTAGGCATGAAAGCCGGCTGGGTGACTCTGGGCCAATCACCAGGAGACGGGGAGTTCTAGTCCCGCCTTAGGCATGAAAGCCGGCTGGGTGACTCTGGGCCAATCACCAGGAGACGGGGAGTTCTAGTCCCGCCTTAGGCATGAAAGCCGGCTGGGTGACTCTGGGCCAATCACCAGGAGACGGGGAGTTCTAGTCCCGCCTTAGGCATGAAAGCCGGCTGGGTGACTCTGGGCCAATCACCAGGAGACGGGGAGTTCTAGTCCCGCCTTAGGCATGAAAGCCGGCTGGGTGACTCTGGACCAATCACCAGGAGACGGGGAGTTCTAGTCCCGCCTTAGGCATGAAAGCCGGCTGGGTGACTCTGGACCAATCACCAGGAGACGGGGAGTTCTAGTCCCGCCTTAGGCATGAAAGCCGGCTGGGTGACTCTGGACCAATCACCAGGAGACGGGGAGTTCTAGTCCTGCCTTAGCCATGAAAGCCGGCTGGGTGATTCTGGACCAATCCCCAGGAGATGGGGAGTTCTAGTATCATGTTAGACATGAAAGCCAGCTGATGACTCTGGACCAATCACCAGGAGATGGGGAGTTCTAGTCCCGCCTTAGGCATGAAAGCCGGCTGGGTGACTCTGGACCAATCACCAGGAGACGGTGATTTCTAGTGCCGCCTAAGGCACAAAGGGTAGTTGTTGTTGTTGTTGTGGGGAAAACAGGAAGAAAGTGGGGTGCCAAATATGTTCGCTGCCTTGAATTATTGACAGGAACGATAAAGGCGAGATACAAACAAACAAATCCTATCCATCAATTCCAAAAAAAGGGGGGCGGGGGCTGAACCCACAGGTTGTGGGGGAGGAGGGCGTGGCAGGTCCTACCTGAGGGATGCCGGCATTGCTGATCTCCGCCATGATGTAGCAGATGAGCTGGAGCACAAAGAGACCGGCGTCCAGGCGCCGCAGGTAGAACTCCTCTTCGGTGTCGTCGTCGATGATCTCCCCGCGGCGCACCATGTCCTGCGAAGAGAGTCAGGACGACGGAGTTGGGAGGGATCTGGGAGGCCTTCTAGTCCAGCCCCCTCCCCACTTCAAGCAGGCAGAGATCATAGGTGAAGAACTGGCTCCGTGCGTGCTTCCCCCATCAGGAACCTCCCATTTCTATGGGGTCCTTGGGGGTCTCTGAGCTGGGTGGTTTTCTTGCAGACGTTTCATGACCCAGCTGGGGAACAACATCAGCCCCAGCCCCACTCCCTGTCTTGGTTTTTAACTTTTAATGTTGGTATGGGATGATAATGGTAATAGTCATGCTTATGGTTAGGGTATGGTACGGTATCCGAATTCTATTCTATATTCCATTCCATCTCGTTCTGTTCTTCTGTCCCAGGGGTCTCAAACTCAAGGGTGAGGGCTGGGGTTGGATCCGGCCCATGGGGCCGTCCTGGAAAACGTAAGGGGCCGGCCCGCATGGCTTCGGCCTGGGCTACTGAATGCAAAGAGGAAACATGCCAGCAATTTGGGGGGGGGTGTCAAGCTGGCCACGCCTGCCCCCCCCATCGTCAACCACAGCCCTGATGCGCCCTTCAATGAAATTGAGTTTGACACCCTTGTTCTATCCTATCCAACCCTATCTGAATTCTCTTCTCTTCTCTTCTCTACACTTCTCTACTCTTCTCTTCTTTACTCTCTCTTCTCTTCTCTACACTTCACTTCTCTACTCTTCTCTACTCTACTCTTCTTTTCTCTTCTCTTCTGTACTCTACTCTTTCTTCTCTACACTTCTCTACTCTTCTCTTCTTTACTTCTTCTTTCTCTTCTCTACACTTCACTTCTCTACTCTTCTCTACTCTACTCTTCTTTTCTCTTCTCTTCTGTACTCTACTCTTCTCTTCACTTCTCTACTCTTTCTTCTTTACTCTTCTGTACTCTACTCTTCTTTACTCTTCTCTTCTCTACTCTACACTTTTCTCTTCTCTTCTCTACACTTCTCCTCTTCTCTTCTTTACTCTTCTCTTGTCTACTCTACTCTTCTCTTCTGTACTCTACTCTTCTCTTCTCTACACTTCTCTACTCTTCTCTTCTTTACTCTTCTGTACTCTACTCTTCTCTACTCTTCTTTACTCTTCTCTTCTCTACTCTACACTTTTCTCTTCTCTTCTCTACACTTCTCTTCTCTTCTTTACTCTTCTCTTCTGTACTCTACTCTTCTCTTCTGTACTCTACTCTTCTCTTCTCTACTCTTCTCTTCTTTACTCTTCTCTTTTCTCTACACTTCACTTCTCTACTCTTCTCTTCTCTACACTTCTCCTCTTCTCTTCTTTACTCTTCTCTTCTCTACTCTACTCTTCTCTTCTTTTCTCTTCTCTTCTGTACTCTTCTCTACACTTCTCTACTCTTCTCTTCTTTACTCTTCTGTACTCTACTCTTCTCTACTCTTCTTTACTCTTCTCTTCTCTACTCTACACTTTTCTCTTCTCTTCTCTACACTTCTCCTCTTCTCTTCTTTACTCTTCTCTTCTCTACTCTACTCTTCTCTTCTCTATTCTTCTCTTCTTTACTCTTCTCTACTCTACTCTTCTTTACTCTTCTCTTCTCTTCTCTACTCTTCTCTTCACTTCTCTACTCTTCTCTACTCTTCTCTTCTCTACACTTCTCTTCTCTACTCTTCTCTTTACTCTTCTCTTCTCTACTCTACACTTCTCTTCGCTTCTCTACTCTACACCTCTTCTCTTCTCTACACTTCTCTTCTCTACTCTTCTCTACTGTACACTTCTCTTCTCTACTCTTCTCTACTCTTCTCTACTGTACACTTCTCTTCTCTACTCTACACTTCTCTTCTCTTCTTACTCTTCTCTACTATACTCTTCTCTACACCTTCTCTTCTCTACTCTACTCTTCTCTTCTCTACTCTTCTCTTCTCTACTCTACTCTTCTCTACTCTACTCTTCTCTTCTCTACTCTTCTTCTCTACTCCTCTCCTCTACTCTTCTCTCCTCTACACTTCTCTTCTCTTTTCTCTTCTCTTCTCCTCTCCCCTCCCCTCCCTGCTGCATTCTGCATTCGGTTCCTAATTCTACTCTGCTCTATTCGTCTGATTCTTAATCGCTTTCTTGCAGTGCTCTCTTATTTTGGATGATATTGTCCAGCCACCCGCAGTTGCAGTGGGACTGAGATGGATGGCATCAAAATTTAATAAATAAAGAAATACGGGAACTCCTGGGAATCACACCTGGGGGGACCCCAATCGGGATCGGAGGCTGTGCCAGAGAGTGGGTTTCCCTCCAGGGAGAAGCCCCCCTCTTAGGAACCCAATTCTTGTGTGGAAATCCAGGCTGCTCCCTTGCAAAACGTGTCCCCAGCCCCTCCTCAGCTGCAACCCCCTTCCCCGTCGTGGCGCCTGCCAGCAGCAGCTCCCTCGGCAGCTGTCCTTTTGCTAGCCCCGTGCTGGGATGTTGTTTTGCCAACCCGAGATCTCCTTGGCACTGTCGCCGGGCATGATTTATGACACGGGGGCCCAGCACCACGGGAGCGGTTTCTCATCATTAGAGGCCGAGCGGGGCAGCCCTGCAACCCTCAGCAAGGAGGGCTCCCTCCTGCCGGTGTGCCTTGCTGGCAAACCCCCACCCACCCCCATTGCTTAACCCAGTTGGAAGGGACCTTGGAGGTCTTCTAGTCCAGCCCCCTCCTCAAGCAGGAGACCCTATGCCATTTCAGACAAGTGCCTGTCCAGTCTCTTCTTAAAAGCCTCCCGTGATGGAGCCCCCACAACCTCTGGTGGCAAGCTGTTCCACTGGTTAATCCTTCTTACTGTTAGGAAGTTTCTCTTTAGTTCCAGGTTGCTTCTCTCCTTGATTTAATTTCCACCTGTTGCTCCTTGTCCTGCCCTCAGGTGCTTGGGAGAATAGGTGGACCCCCTTCCTCCTCTCTGTGGCAGCCCCTCAAATACTGGAAGACTGCTGTCCTCTCACTTCTAGTCCTTCTCTTCCTGAGACTGGCCAGGCCCGGTTCCTGCAACCGTTCTTCGTCTGTTTTAGCCTCCAGCCCCCTCCTCCTCTTTCTTGCTCTTCTCTGCACTCTTTCCAGAGTCTCAGCATCTCCACTCCACTCCACTCCTCTCCAGGTGGGAGGGCACCTGGGGCGCCCACTTAGGATCAGCGCCCACAGCTGATTGGAAGGGCCCAGAAAGCCCCCTGAGATGTTCCCAAGGGCCACCACCAAGCCCTGGTATACGTCTCCTGCTTAGGGAGGGGGTTGGACTAGATGCCCTACAAGGTCCCTTCCAACTCTGTTAATCTATAATTAATCTGTAATCTGCCCTGGGCAGCTGTGTTAAGAGCCCACAACCTTCCCTTCTGGCTCCCCCTTCTTTCCCCCTCTGAAAAGGGGTGGCTTTGCTCTCTTGCTCCAATACAGGTAGTCCTCAACTTACAACCGTTAATTTAGTGACCCTTCGAAGTTGCAACAGCACTGAAAAAAGGGACGTATACCGGGTCTCACACTTATGACCATTTCTACATCCCCATAGCCACGTGATCCAGATTCAGACCCTTGGCAACTGATTCATATTTATGACAGTCGCAGTGTCCCGGGGGAGGGGGGTGTCACGTGACCCCCTTTGGCGACCTTCTGGCCAGCCAAGTCCATGGGGTGAAGCCGAATTCGCTTAACGACCATCGCAGGCATTCCCTTAACAACGGTGGCAAGGAAGGTCGTAAGACGGGGCGAAACTCACTTCACAAATGTCTCCCTTCACCACGGAAATTTGGGCCACTCAATTGCGGCTGTAAGATGAGGAACGACTCGTAAAAATAAATAAATAATAATTTAGATTTGCCACGTAGATGCGTGTCGGTCGCCTCCCTGTTAAAAGAGGTCAGATTTTGCATTCTGTGTTTTGTATTTTATGCCGGTGTTCCTGTCTTACTGAGATACGGATGGGAAGGTGCCGTACCGATAAATAAAATAAGTCAGGAGACCGAACTGACGTGTGTGTGTGTTTTGTGTGGCTTGGAAGCAACTCCCCCCCCCCCCCCCTTGCCCAAGAGACTCAGCCAGGAAAGAAGGAAGAAGCCTGGACTGGGTGAATCCTGCTAGCCACCATCTCCCCCCTCCTCAGTTTTAATCACCCCCAGTGCCAATACCCATCTCCCCCCACCCCTCCCTCCCTTTTCCCCCTGAGCTGTCAGGATGCTGATGGGAGCTCAGGTGCCATCCTTCTCTGCCGTGAGATGCCCGGTGCTGATGGGATGAGACAGCCACGAGATGGGTTCCTGCGATGCTGGGCAGCCTCTCCTCCCGCTAATGAGGCTGGACTGACAGCGCAAAGAAGGAAGGGGAGCGCGGGGCGGCCCTAGCAGGGACCCCAGACCCCCCACCCCTACAAACACACCTCGGGCCTCAAGAGTCTCCCCCAAGGACGGCATGGGGCGAGGACCCCAATCCCAGCCCCATTGCCTTGGGGTAGCTGCCATCCCTCTGCCTGGAGGATGGGGAAGGCAGGAATCGCCGAGTGGCCCAGAGACCCTCCGCGGTGGGGGACTTCCATGCCGGGGAGGGGGTCACCCTATTTAAGGGGGTCGCACAGCCTCAGCAGGATCGTGGCAACCCACAATAATTTTATTGTGATTTGTATTGGATATTGTTTTTGTAAGCCGCCCTGAGTCCCTTGGGAGAATGGCGGCATATAAATCGCAATAATGAATAAATAAATAAATAAATAAATAAATAAATAAATAAATAAATAAACAAACAAACAAACAAACAAACCCAAGCGCCCCCATCAAGGGCAGAAAGTGGCACCCACCAGGTCTGGAAGCCCCGTGGCTGCTGCTATCTGGCCCTCGGCACATGCTCAGGGGCCTGCTCTGTCTGCGGGGACCCTTGCATGGATGCCAACCTGCTGCCCAGCCAGCCTGTGCAGATGGTCGAGGGTCTCAGCATCGGAGTCCTGGGGCCGGATGTGGGTTTCTGGCTGAGGGCTCAGGTACCGTTCAAAGTTACAAAAGTCACTGACAAAAGGGACTTACGGCCGTTTTTCACACTTATGACCGTTGCAGCATCCCCATGATCACGTGATCAAAATTGCTTGGCAACTGGTTCATACTTATGACCGTGGGACTAACCTAACAACTGCAGGGGTTCACTTAACAACGGTGGCGAGGGAAGTCGTAAGATGGGGGCAAAGTTCACTTAACCAGAGCCTTGGTAGTAGTGGTCTAAAGCACCCTGTTATTAAGACCAGCTGCCTGCAATTACTGCGAGTTCGAATCGCGCCAGGCTCAAGGTTGACTCAGCCTTCCATCCTTTCTAAGGTGGGTAAAATGAGGACCCAGTTTGTGGGGGCAATAAGCTGACTTTGTATAAATATACAAAAGGATGAAGGCTGTTGCTTAACGCATTGTAAGCCGCCCTGAGTCTCCGGAGAAGGGCGGCATATAAATCAAATTTAAAAAAAAAAAAAAAAAAATCCCAATGTCTCACTCAGCGACAGAAGTCTTGGGCTCGATTGTGTTCGTAAGTCGAGGACTACCTGTCTAGGGGCTACCCCTCTGTGTTGTGGCCTGTCAGCCACCGGCCCTCCCAACAGACGAATCAGAGGAGGAGGAGGTGTGGGAGTCAAGGTCAGCATTAGGGCAACCTGAGAGCTCCGAGGGGGAAGAGGAAATGGAGCTGGCAGAGAGAGAGAGAGAGAGAAAGGGAGGAAGGGAGAGGGAGAGGGAGAGGGAGGGAGGATGAGGAGTCTGGGCCGTCCATCAGCCCTCAGATGGAGAGTCAACAGTCCCCAGGAGGTCTGGAGGTGGCCGATGAGGAGGAGGAGGAACAGCTGGGTCCAGTGCCTGATGCTCAGAAGGCAGAGGAGAGGAGAGAAGTGGAAATCTATGGGCCGGTCCTTGGGACGGAAAGAGCCACTGCTGCTAGAGAAGCCCCACCTTAGCTCTGGGGATAAAAGGCAGGGGGCGGAGATGAATAGATGTGGCAGACAACTATTCTTCTCCCTTGTCAGCCTGCAGTGAGAGAGAAACTTTTTGCCGGGGCTGCTGGCGCTCCTAATAGAGGAATCATGGCTTCGACTGCAGAGGGTTTGCCGTGTTTGGGGGGCTGGGTGAGAGCACTCTGCCTCCGCAGCCCCTGCACTGCTGCCGCTGACCCACCCTCTCCGGCCCTGGCTGCGGCCATCTGCAGCCTCCCGCCAGCTCAGGCGCCTTCCAATCCTCCGGGGAAATGACCCACAGCTAACGACGGTCCCCTCCCTCGCCCCACATCCCCCTCCCCCGCCCTCTGCCCTTGCAGGATCCCATTTCTGCCTTGGGAGGTGGTGGCGCAATTAGCATCTCATTTAGGAGCCATTAGCATGCAAAATGCCCAGAGAGAACATTTTATTGAATCAACCTGCTGAGCATAATTTCCACATGCAACTGAGGATAATGTATTAAGCCATCGCCTCCCTCCCTCCGAGTCGCCCTTCCGTTCTATGACGGTGCCCGCCTGCCACCGCCGGTGCCCTCCGCCTCTGGACCTCTGGGGAAGGAGGGAGGGGGTGGGGGGGGGGGAAGCTGGTCACCCCCCCCCCCAAGGAAAGGGGGGGGGCGGGCGGGCTCAGGGAGCCAGAAGCCTTTTAATGGGGAAGCTTCGGGGGGCTCCCTTAGCCCAGCCCTTCACTGCAGCAACCTTGAACAGCAGAAAACGAGCAGCTACACAACATCGAAATACGGCAACCAATTTTGCTCACCGCACTACAAGAAAGATGTTGGGATTTTGGCAAAAGTGCAGAGAAGAGCAATTCTGAGGATTAGAGAGCTGCGGACAAAAACACGAAGGACGGTTGCAAGGAATTGGGTTTGGCTAGTCTGGGGAAAAAAAAAAAGAAGATTTAGGGGTGACACGGTAGCAGTCTTCCAATATGAGAGGGGCTGTCGCAAAGAAGAGGAGGGGTCCCCCTAATCTCCAAAGCAGAACGACGGATAGGAACTAATCAAGGAGGGAAGCAGCCTGGAATTAAGGAGAAATTTCCTGACAGTGAGGACAATTAACCAGTGGAACAGCTTGCCACCAGAAGTTGTGAATGCCCCATTACTGGAGGTTTTTAAGAAGAGACTGGACAGCCACTTGCCTGAAATGGTATAGGATCTCCTGCTTGAGCAGAGGGTTGGACTAGAAGACCTCCAAGGTCCCTTCCAGCTCTTCCATTCCATGCCATTCTGGATATGGACCCCGCAGAGCCCAACCATCACAGGCCCCAAAGAGAATTACATGGCCATACATCAAGAACGTCTCAGAAACCACAACCACGAGGCATCAGCACAGCACACAAGCCAACTCAAGACCTTCACAACATCCAGCAGCCCCAGAAGAAAAAACAGGAGCCAACTACAACACACACTCACTGCAACGGTCACTATGGAGCAGGGGTCTCCAACCTTGGCAACTTTCAGCCTTGTGGACTTCAACTCCCAGAATTCCTCAGCCAGCAAAGTCCACAAGTCTGAAAGTTGCCAAGGTTGGAGACCCCTGCTATGGAGGACAAAGAGGAAGAAGACTGGCAAAAAGGAGCCTGGTTTAGCTCAACAGACAGAAGCAGTGTAATTTTACACCAGCTGCCTGCAATTACTGCGAGTTCGAATCGCGCCAGGCTCAAAGTTGACTCAGCCTTCCATCCTTTCTAAGGTAGGTGAAATGAGGACACAGTTTGTGGGGGCAATAAGCTGACTTTGCATAAATATACAAAAGGATGAAGGCTATTGCTTAACGCATTGTAAGCCGCCCTGAGTCTCCGGAGAAGGGCAGCATATAAATGAAATTTTTAAAAAAAATAAATGCATCCACAAATACCAGCAATAATTCGAAGACAACTCCTTAATTGCGCAACCTACGGACAGATTCAACCATCGTTTCAACGGTGACCATCCTCGGCCGAGCCACGTCCAAAACTGCCAGGGGATTTCTAGAAGCCTGGGTCTCTTGACAGATCAGCCATCGATGGACACAGAGACATCTGTGCGAAAGAGACCATCAACCAGCCAAAAAAGGGAACAAAGAGACCGAAACGCCTCCCCCACCAGAAATCAGCACCTCTGGATGACAATTCCAAGATTAACATCGGACCAACCATCAAGTCAACAAGAGCCCAATCGAAGGCACAGCAAATTTCCCAAGCAAAGAGCCTCCACTCCCACCAATACTGGCAGAATATAAACTGAGGGCAAACCCCACTCCTTACTGGCACTGACTGTGTTACCTAGTGGGGTCATGAAACGTCTGCAAGGAAACAAGCAAGCTCAGGGAGCACCAAGGACCCCACAGTCCTCCCCCTCACACCCTCACAAACCCTGCTCCCTTCTAGCACTGAAGATGTTACCTAGTTGGGTCATGAAATTCGGAGAGCACCAAGGACCCCACAGCTGTTGTTGTCCTCCTCCTCCTCAACCCTTCCTCCCTTCTAGAACCAATCATGTAACCTTATGGGGTCACGAAATGTCTGCAAGAAAACCACCAAGCTCGGAGAGACCCAAGGACCCCACAGTCTCCCTCTTCCTCCTCCTCCACTCTGTGGACCCCTCTCCCATCTAGCATTGATTATGTCCGGGGTCCCTAACCGGGCCACGCGAGTGGCGGGCGCTCTCGCACGAAGCTTCACTCACCTGAGCAGTGGGTGCTTGAACTCACACAGATGGAGCGCTGCGCACACGCCTGCCGGTCACACAGAACCGTCCCCTCTGCCCCTCCCCGTGCCAGGCTGCCAAGCCAGAAAGGTTGGGGACCTCTGGATTATGTTACCTAGCTGGGTAATGAAACGCCTACCCTGTTTCCCCGAAAATAAGACCTCCCCTGATAATAAGCCCAATTGGCTCATTTAGCGCATGTGCTAAAATAAGCCTCACCCCCCAAAATATTTAAACGCAGAGCTGGAAATCAGGTAAGACGGCAAGAGGAGCCCCATCTTGCTCTAAGCACCCCAAAATAATAAGACCTCCCCGAAAATAAGGCCAAGCACTTTATTTTGAGGTTCAAAAATATATAAGACAGGGTCTTATTTTCGGGAAAACACAGTTACGAGAGGATGACCCAGCTCAGAGAGCCCCCAGGACCCCACCCTTCAACCGTGAGTTGCAAAGGTTCTTTCCTTCTTTTGGAAGGGCTGCCTTTTGTGAGCCAGCTGTGGGGGGAGCTCTCTCCAAAGCCGAGAAGAGGGAGGGGAGGGGTGGGGGGGTGGGGGAGACTTACATGCTTTTCACCTTCAATCTTCTTATCGGCTACCTGCATGGCATCCAGGTATTTGAAATAGAGCTCCATCAGCCTGTCCACCTGGAAGAGAAAAGGAGATTTCTCTGGGTTTGCGGGTGTGTCTCTGTGTGTGTCAGGAATGGAGGCTGAGGCTCCCGGCCGAAAAGGAGCCCTTTTGTGCAGAACATCTCCTTCCCGGTGATAGACTGCTTCTGAACATGGCAGCTCCACTTAGCCCCCATGGGCCCTGCAGCTATTGAACGACCTTCCTTCCGCAGCCTCCTCCGTAAATTTCAGAGGGGGAAAAAAAACCACCAATTCTAATTAAAGCAGCTCAAATTGTAAAAAGCACATTTTTTTTCGCGGAACAAATCCAGCAAGGGCTGCCTTGGGAGACGCTCGGGATGCCCCTCGCCCGCCGTTCGGTTTGGGCTCTGCCGCCACTGATTTTTCAGAACCGACCACTTGGTTTCGATCCAAAATTATTTGCACAGGCCTTGGGAGTTCAGGCCAGAAGAGAAGTTCTGGGCACTCCATCGCTGAAGAGATTGGAGTGCCATTTGTCAGAAATGGTGTAGGCGGAGGTCTCCTGCTTGGGTAGAGAGGGGGTTGGACTAGATGACCTACAAGGTCCCTTCCAACTCTGTTAACCTGTTAATTCTTTCAACACGGGTGGAAAACCCAGCTGGGCAAAAGAAGGAAGGTGGAAGGAATTTGGGGTTGCAGGGCTGGCCAAAACAACCACCGGGCAGAGAGGGAGGGAAGGAGGGAGGCCCTGCCAGGTTTCGGGCACCTTTTTGGGCAGTGCCACTGTGAAGCCCAGTGCTCAGTCGGCAGGGCAGCGTTTTGTTTTTATGGATTGATTGGAATAGAATAAACTTCATGGTCACTTTGAACGTACGCTAATCGGCATACGTTAAAATGAAAGGAGGTGGCATAGGGCTCTCAAAGGGCCTCCGCCTCCAATATAAACATAAAGGGGTTAGATTTGGCCGCCTCTGCCCACCCTCTCCCCCCCCCACTGACCTTCTCGCTGTCGTTCTCCGTGAATTTGTTGAGCAGTCGTGTCCTCTGCTGACTCCGCAGGTTCCTCAGGAGGGAGGCCAGGATGGAGCAGACGTGCTCTGGGGACGGACCGGAGGAAGGGGCCGGATGGGGTGGGTGGATGGGAGAAAGGCAGACGTGAGCGTGGAATAACTGAGTTCTTCTGATTTGCTTATATATCCAATTTATTTATTTATTTAATTTATTAGTTCGATTTATATGCCGCCCTTCTCCGGAGACTCAGGGCGGCTTACAATGCGTTAAGCAATAGCCTTCATGCTTTTGTATATACCTGCCTAGTAGGGCTTTTTGGCCTATTGAAAAACCATCCTTCTCTGGTAGACAGAAGACGTAAAAACAACGTACAGGTAAAAGTGTCTCCGTCCTCCAGGTCCTGGTTGTCCCAAAGGTGCTTTTTTCAGGAGGCAACTCGACTTTCTGGTTTTTTCTTTTGAAGAAGAAGGAAGTCCAGTTGCCTCCTGAAAAAAGCACCTTTGGGACTACCAGGACCTAGATGACAGAGAATCTCCACAGACGTTTAGATATACATTTTGGGATGGAGACCCTTTGAATGGTGTGGGAGTAGGAATGGATTTCCAGAGGGGGGGAAATTGCAGACTACAGAAACCATTTGCACCACTCAGGTGACCCCGAGGACACAGATAAACCACCAAGTGCTTCAACCAGGAGCCCTGGTGGCGCAGCAGACTAAAGCACTGTTATTAACATCAGCTGCCTGCAATTACCGCAAGTTCAAATCTCGCCAAGGCTCAAGGTTGACTCAGTCTTCCATCCTTTCTAAGGTGGGTAAATTGAGGACCCAGATTGTGGGGGCAATAAGCTGACTTTGTATAAATATACAAAAGGATGAAGGCTATTGCTTAACGCATTGTAAGCCGCCCTGAGTCTCCGGAGAAGGGCGGCATATAAATCAAATTAAAAAAATTAAAAAAAAAACCACCCTCAGAAAGGATGCAAATGACCAGCTGTCTGCAAGGAGTATAAATCCTTCCCTTCCCCACCATCTGGTCAGAGCTGAAGAAGCTTCTTGGATGAGAAGCGAAACGTCTTCAAAAGAAAAAAATGGGTGGACCAACTTCCGGAATTCTGGGTGGGGAATTCTGGGAGTTGAAATCCACGAGTCTTAAAGCTGCCAAGGTTGGTTACCCTCACCCTCCCTCCCGATGAAGAGGAGGCCAATCAGGAAAGGTCAAATCAGATCGATTCATAACCCCACTGGGTTATTAATGTTTATCTATCTATCTATCTATCTATCTATCTATCTATCTATCTATCTATCTTCTATCTATCTATCTATCTATCTATCTATCTATCTATCTATCTATCTCTCTATCTATCCAATCCATCCACCCACCCACCCAATTGATATGGTGCCCCTCTCAGCAAGACTTTGGGCAGTGAATAAGAGTGAAAATAGGAAAAAAAGCTATTATTATTATACACGCTGCGAAAGTTAAAATACAGAGAGACCAGAAAACGTCAAGCCCAACTCTTAGTGTAACCAAGAAGCAGGTCCTTGATAGTTCTTGACTTAGGAACATTCATTTAGTGACGGTTCGAAGTCACAAGGGCCCTGAAAAAAGGAAACCGTGACTGCCCGTCACACTTAGGACCGCTGCAGCATCCCCGCAGTCATGTGATCAAAATTTGGATGCTCGGCAGCCGTCCTGTACTTATGACCGTCGCAGTATCCGGAGAGAGTGTGTGTGTCACGTGATCTCCCCTTTTGCAACCTTCTGACGAGCAAAGTCAAGGAGGAAGAAGACAGATTCGCTTAACGACCGAACTGAAAATCCTTAAAAGCCCTTAAAATGGTGGTTAGGGGGCTGGAGGTTAGAATGTAGGAAGAGCGGTTGCAGGAATTGGGGATGTCTAGTTTAATGGAAAGGAGGACTGGGAGGGACACGATAGCTGACTTCCAACGTTTGAGGGGCTGCCCCAAAGAAGAGGAGGGGGTCCATCTGTTCTCCAAAGGACCGGAAGGCAGGACGAGAAGCAACGGATGGAAACTCATCAAGGAGAGAATCAAGATGGAACGAAGGAGGAACTTCTTGGGAGTTACAACAATTAACCAGTGGAACAACCTGCCTCTAGAAGCTGAGGGTGCTCCAACACTGTTTAAGAAGAGACTGAGCAGGGGGTTGGACTAGAAGACTTCCGAGATCCTTTCCAACCTCATTATTTTGTTATTTACTCCCCCCTCCCCACCGGCTAAGATCTCTGTGGCACAGAAGCTCTGGAAAAGGAGGGGGAACCGGCTGCCTAAAGACCCCACCCAAAAGCCTGTGCTTGGCAGCCCCTTCCATGCCCAGCCCCAGACAAACAAGCCCCTCCCAAATCCTCCTTTCTCCCCCCTCTGCATCCTTGGAGGGACCCCTTTGGATCCATGGGGGGCGGTGGGGGTGGGGGCAGGGGGTGGAAGGGGCCTGAAAACGCCAGGGGAATGGAGGATCTCTCGGCAGCCTAATTGCCTCTCCTGCCTTCCGGAAGAGAGATGCTCGCCTCGCTTTTCCCAGAGGTTAATTTATGGCGTTTCTGTTGATTCACAATGAAGGTTTACGGCTGAAAAACACGTCAGGAGGGGGAAAAAACGGAGAAACGGAAAGGAAGAAACGGCTGCCAGAGACGAACCTCCGTGCAGGGATTTCAGCAGCAAAGAGAAAAGGGGCTGTAGGGGGTGGGGGCCAAAGGGTCCCCTCGGGGGCTTCCAGCGGCCAGGAGAGCCTCGGTGGGGCAGATTTTCTGCACCCCTAAGAAGGATGGATGGATGGGATGTGTGTGTGTGTGAGGGCTCCTCCATCTGAGTGCCTTGGCTGCCCTGCCGGAGGGCAGAGGATTTGCCACATTTAAGTGGAAAAATGCCAGCTGCTGAAAAAAAGGATTGTTTCCTCCTTGCTGCCAAGACGATTAAGGGGTGCTTTGCCAGCACTGCCTGGGCCTGGGGGGGGGGGGCACCAGCAGATGCCATCAATTGCACACTTATGAACGAGCCGTGTGCCCCCTTTCAGTAAGACCCTCCGTCTCTCAAGCCATGCCCCCCTCCTGCTGCCCCATGCACCAAGGCCTGGTCCAGCTGCTGAAAGCAGAGCCTGCTGGGCAGGTGGGCCTTGAAACCTGCTAAGCAATGTGGGGCTGTTGTCCCCCAACAACCTGCGTGGCACCCACTTTGGAGGCGCTAGGGAGGTGGAGGTAGACTCTGGGGGGAGGGGGGCATTTTAGGAAGGAAGGAAGAAAGAGGGGAGGCAATAAGCCACTTTTCTGGAGGAGGTCAGTCTGAGATTTGACTTTCGCAGGAGAGAAAGATGGGGCCCCAAAATCACTTGGGGGGGGGGGGGAGAAGCGCCAAGAGACTCCGTTCAAAGATATGCATGGGTGCTGTGCATGCCCATGGCATCCAGCCATGTGCACGCTCCTTTTAAGGAGGAAGGGCTGCATGTACACATAGGAGGGGAGGGGGCAGAAGAACGCCAGCCAGACGGTTTGCAAAGGAGGGTATTTGTAGCTCAGGGTGGAAACGAGGGGTCCCTGGTGCCCTCTGAGCTTGGTGGTTTTCTTGCAAGCGTTTCATTACCAAGCTAGGTAACATCATCAGAGCTAGAAGGGAGAAGGGAGGGGAGAGGGAGAATTAAAATAACCGGAACGGCTTGCCTCCAGAACTTGTAGATGCTCCATCACTGGAGGTTTTTAAGAAGATTGGACAACCATTTGTCTAGAACAGGGGTCTCCAACCTTGGCAACTTTAAGACTTGTGGACTTCAACTCCCAGAGTTCCTCAGCCAGCAAAGCTAGACCTCCAAGGTCCCTTCCAATGCTGATATTTTGTTATTCTTCCCTCGTTTGTGATGGGCTTTGCTGATCTGGCTTTGTCCAGAAGCTTGAGACCTTAGGGTGGTGGGATCCGGAACAGCAAGGCCCCTGGGCCCCCTGAACCTCCTGGACGGCCCCCTCCCCGGCCCTCACCCACCACTCAGGGATGCTGCTCAGCCGGAGTCTTCCCGCAGAGGCAGGCAGTCCGGATTCAGGATGCAGGCAGTGTTGGAAAGGCTCAAATTGGATTGATCTCGACTCTGCCGGTTGTAAAGCAGAATACAAATTCCTCCTTTCGCGCCTGGCATGGGGTCAATTCTTGACCGGCCTTCTTGCTTCTTGGCCGTCTCCGCTGCGGTTCTTCTTCCTCGACGCCCCCTTTTAATGGGCACTGGCCCAGCAAGGAGGGAGGGAGGAAAGGAGGAGGGGAAGCAGCCACGGAAGGTTGTTGGGGGTTCAAGAAACAGCCCCCTCCGATAGCACACAGCCCTCTCTCGAGAAAGCTGCTGAGGGTTTTTGCAGGAAGGAAGGAAGGGAGGGAGGGAGGGAGGGAAGAAAAGCTTAGAAAAAGAGGCAGGGAGGGAATTGATTTCTCTTAATGAGCTCGGAAGAAGCCGCAGCCGAAGGAAGACAAGCCGGGCTGCGTGCCCTCCATGCCAATCGGTGCCCTGGCGCCTCACTCCTCCCGTTTGTTCTCGGCCAGGGTGGCAGGAGAGGTTCACGGTGGAGGTTTCCTTCGTCTTGCCTGCCAGATGAAAATGGGCTCCCAAATGGGCCAAAGGCTTCTCGTCAGCAATCTGCTTGCCGGCAATGAAAACGATGTCCCACCTGGCCTGGCCCTTCCCTTCCCCCCACTTGCAGGGGGTGGGGGTGGGGGACGCAGCCTCAACTGTAGTCCAATGGGGCATGGGCTAGGGAGAACTTTCTCTCCAGAGAGGGGCTCAACCAAGAAAGGGAGGGGAACAACAGCCATGATGGGCCCCGTTCAGAGGGTCCAAGGCGAGGGGCTTCCCTCGTGGGGCAACCCAGCCATGGCAGAATAACAGAAGAGCGGGAAGGGACCTTGGAGGTCTTCTAGTCCAACCCCCCGCCCAAGCCAGGAGACTCAACAACCTCCAGATGGAGCACCCACATCCAGTGGCAAGCTGTTCCACTGGTTAATTGTCATCACTGTTGGGAAGTTTCTCCTTAGTTCTAGGTTGCTTCTCTCCTTGGTAGGTTTCCCTCTGCTGCTTCTTGTCCTGCCCTCAGGGGCTTTGGAGTTCATTAGGCTAGACATGCCCAATTTCTACAAAGGTTCTTCATAGGTATGTTTTGGCCTCCAGCCTCCTAATTCCCTGTGGTTTATGATCAACAGTATGTGAGCTTCTGCACCAGAGAGAAATTCCTTTTGTGTCCAATCACACTTGGCCAATAAAGTATTTATTTTATTTTAATTCAATTCAATTCCATTCCATTCCATATTTTCTATTCTATTCTTATCATCTTCATTGCTCTTCTCCGCACTCTTTCTGGAGTCTCAACCTCTTTTTCATACCAGGACTGGATGCGCCTGCCCCTTCCCCACAATGCTCGGCCTCTCTCACTGGCAGAATGCAAAGCGATGCTTGGCACGCGGGCAGCACAAAGTCACCCTGCGTGAAGCAGATAAAGCTGCCTTCTGCCAAAGGTCTGCCATGTGGCACCAGAGTTGGCAACAGCCCCTTTGCTGGCAGGCCCGTGTCAGGAGGGCGCAGGGAATGCCTTGCGGATCGGAAGGCACCTGCCAGCCTCAGCGTGTCCCACCTCCACGCTCTCCACGGCCCCAGCGGGTTCAGGAGTGTTACTTGGTGGCCACAGATTCATACCACAACAGATGGAATTAACAGAATATTAACAGATGAACAGAGTTGGAAGGGACCTTGTAGGTCATCTAGTCCAACCCCCTGCCCAAGCAGGAGACCCTACATCCTTTCTGACAGATGGCTGTCCAATCTCTTCTTGAAAGCCTCCAGTGATGAAGCTCCCACAACTTCCGAAGGCAACTTCTCTTCCATCGGTTGATTGCTCTCACTATCAGAAAATTCCTCCTTATTTCCTGGTTGAATCTGTTTCCATCCATTATTCCTTGTCTGGCCTTATCTGGTGCTTTGGAAAACAGCTCGACCCCCTTCCTCCTCTCTGTGGCAGCCCCTCAAATACTGGAAGATGCTCTCCTGTCTCCCCTGGTCCTTCTCTTCCCTAGACTAGCCAGGCCCAGTCCCTGCAATGGTTCATCGTATGTTTCAGCCTCCAGTCCCCTCATCATCCTGGTTGCTCTTCTCTGCACTTTTTCTAGAGTCTCAGCATCTTGTTTATAGTGTGGGGACCAAAACTGGATGCAGGACTCTAGGTGTGGCCTTACTAAAGTCTTCGTATTAAACCCCCTGCTCAGGCAGGAAACCCTATACCATATTCTCACTTCCCAAATAGAGTCAGGAATATTGAAAGGGGGGGGGGGAAATCCTAGAGAGAAATCTTGAATTTTAACTATGGGAGGATTGTTAAAAAGGCCAGATTGCCTTTCTTTTTTCACCCCAACCAAAGCAGCCTTAACAAAAGCACGCAGCAAATCCCTCTTCTGGCGTTTCCAAATAGTTTCCAAGCAAGGTCTCTGAATGATAGCTAAATGAAAATGTCGGGGATCTCAAAAATAGGGATAAAAATACTCCTCTTGATTGTAAAATCATTGGGTGGCCAAAGCTGCCATGATATAAGGAGGGATTATTTGTCACTGTGACCCTGAAAAAGTCAATTAGGCATCAACTGGGTCACCCACTGTGCTTCTCTGCCAGGATGGCTTAAATTTAAGGATTTGGGTTCAGAGGATGGGGGGGGTGTTTAGGAAAGGCAGCCCTCGTGGCGGGGGGGGGGAGGCAGAACCCAAACAACTCTGGAGAAATCTTGGAATGCGGCCTCAGCCTAAAAGGGGCAGTGGGGTGATTTGCCAGGACCCCCAATCCATGTCAAGGCAGTTTTCTGCTTCTTAAGGACTCCAGCGCCTCTGTGCCCCCAAAGCCCCCTGCCCCCCCCAAAAAGGTGCTTTTTTTCCAAAAGACAACCGGACGTTTCGGTTTCTCCTTGAAGACATTTCGCTTCTCACCCAAGAAGCTTCTTCAGTTCTGACCGAATGGTGGGGAAAGGAAGGATTTACAGGTAGTCGACTTACAACAGCTTGTTTAGTGACCATTTGAACGGCATTGAGAAAAGGGACTTGTGACCGTTTTTCACACTTACGACCATTGCTCAAAATTCAGAGGCTTGGCAGCTGGCATGGACTTATGACGGTTGCAGTGTCCTGAGGTCAAGTGATCCCCACTTGTGACCTCCCAACAGCCAAAATCCATGGGGATGCCGGGTTTACTTATCAGCTGTGTTACTAAGTTAACCACTGCAGTGCTTCACTTAACAACAGGAAAGGTTGTAAAATGGGGCAAGACCAGCTTAACAAATGTCTCACTTAACCACAGAAATGTTGGGCTCAAGCCGAGAACTAGCTGTATATTCTTTGCAGTCATCTGGTTGTTATTGCGTTTCCCCGAAAATAAGACCAGTCTTATATTAATTTTTGCTCCAAAAGACTCATTGGGTCTTATTTTCTGGTTAGGTCTTATTTTGGGTGTAAATACAGTACTCAATGCACCCCTCTGGGTGACAATCTTAACTGGGATTTATTTTTGGGGTAGGGCTTATATTACGAGCCTCCTGAAAAATCATGCTAGGGCTTATTTTCCGGTTGGCTCTTATTTTCGGGGGAAACAGGGTAGCAACCAGCCCTGGAAGCCACTTCAAAAGGAGCACTTCCAGCAGGAAAAACAAGAGAAAAAAAATGTCGAACCCCACAATCTTCTGCTGAAGGACTGGGAGCTGTTCGGGGGGATCAAAAGGACCGAGAAAAGTACCAGGCGCCCCCATGCAATTCGGCAGAGGTGAGCAACAGGAAACCCCAGTTTTTAATAATATGCCGAGATAAAAATAGAAAGGAAAACAGCGGGATTTTTGCCTGTTTATGGGAAATCACGGAAGATCTGTGATTGTGGGAGGCTGAAAACACACTTAAGCTTTTGTAAGTTAAATCTTTTATAACTGTTTTTTTTAAAATCTGTATGTTTTATTAACAGGATAACAGACTTGGAAGGGACCTCAGAGGTCTTCTAGTCCAACCCCGTTCAGGCAGGAAATCCTATACCACTCCAGATAAATGGCTGTCCAGTCTCTTCTTGAAAACCTCCAGTGATGGAGAACCCAAACACCTGGTGGCAAGCAGTTCCACTGGTTAATTGTCCTCACTGTTAAGAAGTTTCTCCTTAGTTCTAGCTGCCTATGGAGATTCTCTGTCATCCAGGTCATGGTTGTCCCAAAGGTGCTTTTGAAAGAGGCAAGTGGAGTGTCTGGCTTTTCTTGGAAGACGTTTCTCTTCTCATCCAAGAAGCTTCTTCAGCTCTGACTGGATGGTGGATGGTCAGAGCTGAAGAAGCTTCTTGGATGAGAAGAGAAACGTCTTCCAAGAAAAACCAGAAAGTCCACTTGCCTCTTTCAAAAGCACCTTTGGGTCCTTAGTTCTAAATTGCTTCTCTCCTTGATGAGTTTCCACCCGTGGCTTCTTCTCCTGCCTTCTGATGCTTTGGAGAATAGCTGGACTCCCTCTTCTTTGGGGCAGCCCCTGAGATATTGGAAGATGCTATCATGTCTCCCCTGGTCCTTCTTTTCATCAGACTAGACATACTCAGTTCCTGCAACCGTTCTTCGTATGTTTCAGCCTCCAGTCCCCTCATCCTCTTTGTTGCTCTTCTCTGCACTCTTTCTAGAGTCTCCACATCTTTTTTACATCGTGGCGACACTTTAAGACGCTCAGAGTTGCCTTAAACGGTGACATATAAATTTAATAATCTTTTTTTTTTGTAGATCCCTGCGGGTTCTCCAAAACCCCTGGCTGATTTCCCAAGCTCCAAGATGGAGGCTCCATCTTCAGATGGCCGCGAGGAGCAGAGGCCCCTTTTAAAGAAACTCTCATTTCCGTCTGCGGCTTTTGAGCTGATGCTTCGAGCCAGAGAGCTTCCTCCCTCTGGATCTTTGCTCGTCCGTGATGCCAATACATATTTGCAAGGCCTTACACATGTCTGATTAATTGAATAAACCCACTTGCTCCGTCTTCCTTGTCGCTACAAATTCATCGCCGGTGTAAAATGCTGACCGGATGACAAGCTTGCTTCTGCAGCAGGGAAAAAAAGCCTCAGAGAATCCAGAGGGACGGACTGTTATAGGTAGTGCTCGACTTACGACCACAATGGAGCCCCAAATTTCAGTCGCTAAGCGAGACAGTTTTGTGAAGTGAGCTTTGCCCCGTTTTACGAACTTTCCTGCCATGGTTGTTTAAGCGAACCGCTGCAGTTGTTAAGTGAATCACACAGTTGTTAAGGAATCTGGCATCCCCGTTGACTTGCTCGTCAGAAGGTCGCAAAAGGAGATCATGTGACCCTGGGTCACTGTGACCGTCGTAAATACGAGCTGGTTGAGAACAATGACTGAGTGGAACGGAAATTGTGGGTGCTCCAACACTGGAGGTTTTAAAGAAGAGATTGGACAGCCATTTGTCTGAAATGGCACAGGGCTTCCTGCTTAAGTAGAGGGTTGGGCTAGAGGACCTCCGAGGTCCCTTCCCACTCTCTTATCTGGCTCCCCCTTGCCAGAGCTCCCCACCCAAGGCTGCTGGCTGCCTTCTCTCTGTGCTTCCCATGAACCCTCCTCTTCCCATCACTCAAACTGGAGGAGTCAAGCAATTAACCATTTCATTTTATTCAAGCGGCTTGACACTTTGACTCATTACGTTCGGGAGGCTCGGGAGCCGGGCGCAATTTTGAATGTTGAAGTGTCAGGGATTTGCACGCGGGAAGACAAGGGTGCCGGCTCAACCGGTGACAGGGCTTGTCACAGAAGAAGTCCATCCATCTCTGCCATCCAGGCTCTGAAGCCAGCGGAGGCAGGGAGGGGGCGCCTCCATTGTTCCTCTGGATTGGACAATGCCCCCCCCCCACTCACCGTCTGGCCCTGCGGCTTCTCCTTCATAGCAAGGACACCCCCCATGAAGGGGGTGGGTGGGAGGAAGAGGGGTGGGCCAGGGGAGACATTCGCCACCCTCCCCCTCCCTCTTGAAAATGGCCTAGCTTTGCTCTGAAGGCCACCAATGATGCTCCCACCACGGAGGAAGGAGAAGGACGGGAGCAGAGGCCCCAAAGGGACCAAAGGCTCAGGAAAAATGGGGTGGGGCCAGATGACCAACCCGGCCCCCCCCAGGAGCAGCAAGAAAGCCATCCGTGGCCAGCCCACCAGTGGAAGCCTTCCACGGAAGCCAAGTGCTGTGCCGTGAACAGGAGGGGAGCGAGAAGGGAGGGCAGGCAACGGGGAGGGGCTGAAAACCTTCGACTGGGGCAGGGAGGGAAAGGGGGCAGTTTCGACTGATTCCTAAGAGAATGAAATTTGGGGAAGTTGTGGTAGCTTTTGTGCTGCTGTGCTGCTGCTTTGGTCATGTGATCTTCATTCTCAATGTTCTGTGACAGTTTCTCAGCCACTCTTGCAATCCCTTATTTCCTTCCCCACCCGGCAGCAGCCACTCACCTGTTGGAAAGGAAGTGAAGGGAGAAGAGGGCAGGGGAGGGGGGTAGGATAGGTAGGAAGGTAGGTAGGAAAGAAAGAAGGAAGGAGGGGGGGGAGGGAGGGAGGAAGGATGGAAAGGAGGGAGGGACAAAGGAAGGAAGAGAAAGGAAAAGGAAGGAAGGAAGGAGGGAGGGAGGAAGGAAGAATGGAAAGGAAGAAAGGAAGGAGGGAGGAATGGAAGGAAGGAGGAAGGGAGGAAGAGAGGAAGAGAGGAAGGAAGAATGGGAGGGAGGGAGGGAGGGAGGGAGGGAGGGAGGGAGGAAGGAAGGAAGGAAGGAAGGAAGGAAGGAAGGAAGGAAGGAAGATCGTGGGTGCTCTCTGAGATGGGTGCTTTTCTTGCAGTTTCATAACCCAACTAGGAAACATCATTTGGGAGGGAATGGGGGAAGAAGGGAGGGAGGGAGGGAAGGAAGGAGGGGGGAGGGGAGGGAACATGGAGGGAGGGAAGAAGAAAGGGAGGGAGGATTTCTGATGCCCCCCCCACCAGTTTTCCCCAGAGAAACTCAATGGGGAAGCCAGGAGGATGGTGGACATCTCTTGCGCTGCTTTTTTGCCCACCTGTGGTCATCCTCCCCCCCTCCTTTTTCAGGTAAGGAAATACCTCTGAAATCCCAGAGGGCACGGGTTGCCTGCTTATTATTATTCTAATTAGGCCGAGGCTTTCATGAGCTCCGGCTCCCTTCCTCAGATGCAGGGAGCATTACTGATATGCATTAAGTATGTAATTCCTAAGTAGATTTGCTAAGTACAGTTAATAAGCAGACATTTATGGGAACAGGCTGCAGGATTACAGATAAAAATTACCGATATAGGTTTAAGAGGGAGAAATCAATGCAGATTTATAGAAATAAGCATGCAAATCTGTTTTATAGAGAAAGGTTAGCAGGGAATCTAAGCCATAATACTCCCTGTTCCTGGGGTGGGAAGCCTGCTGGGGGGGGGGCGTTCCCAGACAACCCCCCCAAAAAATCGTTCCCCCCTCCCCCTCTACTGGGGGGGGGGGGGATACTGTGCAGGGCTGGCCCTCAGCAGCTCCTGCAGGGCTTCAAAATCCCTAAGCAAAATATGACCAGTAAGATGCTAATCCCAAAGCAGCCACACAGTTGCCAGGGAGAGCAAAATGACAGAATAACAGAGTTGGAAGGGACCCCAGAGGTCTTCTAGTCCGACCTTAGACCAGTGATGGAGAACCTTTTTGTCGTTGCATGCCAAAAGTGGGGGAACGCAGAGGGGGAGTCTCGTGCGTACCCACACCCATAATTCAATGCCCCCCTGTGCATGCGTGCATGAACCACCATGCTCCCCCACGCATGTCCTCCGCGCCCCATTTTGGGCCTAGCAGACCTATCTGAAGCCTCCAGAGGGGGAAAACGGCCTCCCCCACCCTCCTGGAAGCCCTCTGGAGGCCTGAAACAGCCCGTTTCCCAACTTTCGGTGGGCCCGCTAGGTCCGTTTTCCACCCTCCCCAGGTTCCAGAAGCTTTCCTGGAGGCTGGGGAGGGTTAAAACAGCCTCCCCCACCCCCCACAGGCCCTCCAGAGGCCGAAAACGCCCTCACAGAGCCTCCGCATAAGCCCTGTAGTTACCTGGCATCCAAAACGGGCTGCATGGAGACTCCTGGGAGGGGAGGCGTGGGTGGAGCCAGCCGAAAATCAGCTGGCCGGCACGCGGATACGCGCTGGAGTTGAGCTAGGGCAACGGCTCGCGTGCCCGAAGATATGGCTCCGCGGGCCACCTGTGTCACGCATGCCATAGGTTCGCCATGATGGCCTTAGACCATTTCACTCGAATGGCCATCCAGTCTCTTTTTAAAATAAACTTCTACTCAGCACCAACCTGCCTTGTTGAGCCAATTTTATCTGCAGAAAGACCCCACGGAGAGAATTAGGCTGGGGACGGCGGAGAGTCCCGGATGCAAAGGCTGCTCCATGTGACACAAAGACAAACGTCCGGCCAACTCCCAGCTGTGTGACAGCTGTCTGTCTTTATTTGCTTCCCCTGGTTTGAACAGCAGCCCTGCCTGGAAATACAGGTAGTCCTCAACTTACAACCGTTCGTTTAGTGACCTTTCAACGTTACTGAAAAAAAGGGACTTAGGACTGATCCTCACACTTACGACCACTGCAACATCCCCATGGTCATGTGGTCAAAATTCAGAGGCTTGGCAACTGACTCGTATTTATGACGGTCACAGTGTCCCGGGATCCCCTTTTGCGACCTTCTGTCGAGCAAAGTCAACGGGGAAGGCAGATTCACTTAACAACCATGTTCCTGACTTATCAACTGCGGTGATTCAGTTAGCAACGGAGGCAAGAAAGGGTGCAAAACGGGGCAAGAGTCCTTTAACAAACGTCTCGCTCAGCAGCAGAAACGTTGGGCTCCATTGTGGTCGTATATCGAGGACTGCCTGTACAACAGGGACCTCCAAGGAGACCCCAAGGAGACCCTCTGCAAAACTGGTGAACAGATCCAGAGGTGAAGAATTCAATGAGCAACTCTATTGCTGGTGCCTATAATACAGGAATCTTCCCAGACGGGCCGTTTGTGCCTGGGCCAGGCTAAAGAAGGGCCCAATGGCAGTCAAGGCAGCTTTCCCTCTTGTGGCTACGCAAGGATTCCAGACTAATTCCTCCCTCGACTCCTCACCCTGGCTGGGCCAGTTTCTCTCCAACATAAGCATTTTGTTTTCTACGAGACGGGCGGCAAATGAATTCAACAAATAAATAAATAAGAAGTAAACATTCAACACCAGCTGATATTCTTCTATCTGCCTTGGTATCCTTTCCTATCTCCAATCCATGCCAGCAGCACCGAAAGTCGCCCGCCTAGAATCGCCCCAAGTGGCGAGATGGGCAGTATATAAATTTGATAATTAATGAATAAATAAACAAAAAAACCATTTATCCCAGGCTGACTTGCTGACAGGGGCTGCAGAGCAGAAGCAGGTCAGGACCCTTCCCCGAATTATCACGCGGGGCACAACTGCACAACACGAGGAGTGGAAGCGAGGAGAAAGCTCTCCAATAGCGCCAACGAGTGCCAGCCCCCCCTTCTCCCTCCCCACGAGGAAGAAGGCTTCTTGCAACTGTCACAATGGACCGACATGAGGAGAGTCACAGTTTCTGCTCTGCGTAAACAGGCGTCTGCTGGAAAGAGCATGTACGGAGTGCGCAGCGTGTTTAAACAGCTGGTAGAGACTACGAGGCGAGATCAGAGTCAACTTAATTGTTTTTAGCCTCCCGCCTGGCAAATATTTATCCACCGAGCACAACTGCCTGTGCCCACTTGGCTTGGAGGTGGCTCTTTTGCAACCCCGGGAAGAGGTTTTGATCATCAAGCAAGGCATTGAGCAACAAGGGGCAGCGCAGGCGGGAGTCCTGGGTGGCACACGGACTCTGCTAACCCTTGGGCTCAAGCAGGTTGGGCACCCCTGATTTATGTCTTCCTTAGCAAGTTTGATCCCGGGGAAAAGAAAATCTGGGATTGTGTTTGAGTTTCACGCACTTCCATTTTCCCAGCTGTGGGAGAAAGGAGGCAAGGTCAGTTTCTCAACCCACCT